TCCTGGCAGCTTTCAGACCAAGGGCCATCCTTGGAGGGAGTCTGATGTGGCAGAATCATATTTCTGCTGTCACCTCAGCATGTTGGAGTGCAAATGAACATCTGGCAGGCATTTGGAGAAAGGTATTATAACGAGTGACACACTGCTGAAGAGGGTATATAGAGGGAGGAAGAGCCCTTCTTCTTGTTTGGAAAACAGATGACAGTTTATCGTCTGAATATATATGTCCCCGAGTTTCTGCTCATTCTCTAACTTCCTGGTGGAGTTCCTTTCTTTCACATCTACAGTTCCCCTTCTTTATTTTAGAGCTAGTCAAGAGGTATAGAAAAATGGAGGGATGCAGGTAGACATTGGCATGAACCCATTTAAGCTGACTGCGTGATCTTCTCTGTCTGATCTTGCTGGACATGAACCTGTTATGATTTGCCCATAGCAGATCATCAATAAATGTCTGTTGAGTAAAGGTACAATCATTGTAGTTTCAATCCCACATTTACATTTACAGTTTTTAATTCTAATCTTCTGGAATGAACTTCTGGTATCTTTATTCTTAGTGATCTTGGAGGTATCTAAGGGCAGTTCAATTGAGTTAATGTCATATATAATTATGTAATAGATAACCTATAACTAACCCAAGGGAATTGGAGAAAGGAATGGCAGTGGGAAACTATTAAATAAACTTTCTTCTTTGTAAGTTATAACTTTGGAAGATTACCACTGTTACACCAAATACTTGTAAGTGTCAGGAAGTTTAAGCTGAGAGAAGGTTCATAGTCTTGCTATATGGAGAAATTGGAACAGGGAGTGCTAGAGCTAATCTATCAGGGTAGCTGGTGCATACAATTTCAGAATGTGAGGTGTTGCAGGCCCTATGGGCTGTCATATTTGCTCTGCTGTTCTAATAATACAGTGCTCACAGACAATACATAAATGAATGGGTGGGACTTTTTTCCAATAAAACTTTATTTATGGACAAATACATTTGAATCTTATAAAACTTTCACACAGCATACCATAGCATTATTTTTATTTATTTATTTGTTCACTTATTTCTTTCTTTATTTCTGCCAACCATTTGTTCACAGGTCCTACCAAAACTGGTGGTAGGACATATTTGACCCAGAGGCCATGGTTTGCAACCTTCTGTTCCAGGGCTCAAAATGAAATAAATAAATAACAGCCCACTCAGAACAAATGTCATCAGTTCATTTTGGTAAGTCTCAGGGGCCTCAGGTTAGGGGCTGGGAGGAACTGCACTCCAATAGTTGAATTCTTCAAACGCCTTCTGATCTAATAATATGTTAGAAAGAAAGGAGGGCTCAGCCCATCTGGTCCACATTCCGTGTGCCCTGATCCTGTGTGATTGGGAACATGGATGGACTTCCATGAAAGGTGTCCTGTTTCTGCAGCAGGGTTCTTCATCATGCAGGTGGTCTCCCCATCCCTTCACTTTCTGTCTCTCCACCTCTCTAATTTTCTCTCTGCAAGGGACCCACATAAAGGAGGAGAAAGGAATGGACTTATTAAGGACACTTTCACTTCTTTGAATTAGTAAGGTAGCCTCTTCCATGTACCTCCCTTACCTTACACACGCACGCATGCACGAAATAATTTTGGTTTAAAGCTGTCTCATTAAGAAATATCTTTTGGTTTTTTATTTATCACAACATAAATTAGTGATTTTCTTTGGCTGATTAGAGATATGTCTCCAATCCAATCTAATTTTATGAATGTAGATCCATGAGGTTTCTTCCACAAATATTCCAAAATACAACTGTTTCCCTTGGGTTATAAAATTTTTATTTTCTTTTGGTTGTTTTTTTGTGTTTTTTGTTTTTTTTTTAACCAAAAGCTCTGTGCATTTTGTTGTAGACGCAGTTGTAATGATTCAGAAGTAGAATGCAGTCCTGATGTACTAAGTCTTAAGAAATGCACATTTCATTTCTACATTACAGAGTAGGAAATGGAACAGGGAGAAGTTAGAAATAGACTAGGGGGATTTACCAAAACAGTTTATAAACAGGTCAGGAAAGGAATGCTCTGCAAAGTTGTCAATACTAAACATCCGTTCACTCTGGATACAGTTTTGTCCTTCTTGGTTAGACTTGATATTTTATAAAAAGAAAACCAGTGATTTGTGAACCATTTGCTTTTGATCAAGCCCTACTTATTCCTTCCCAGTATCTTAATCTTTAGAACTATGCTTCTCAATGGGAGGCATCAGAATCACTCGGGGAAAATTTTTCAAAATGTATGTTGTTTGCCCTGGCCCGTTTGGCTCAGCAGTTAGAGTGTTGGCCCACAGACCAAAGAGTCATAGGTTCGATTCCCATCAAGGCCATGTACCTCATTTGTGGTTCAGTCCCCAGCCCTGGTTGGGGTCGGGTGGGAGGCAACCAATTGATATGTCTCTCTCACATCGATGTTTCTCTCTCTCTATCTCTATCTCTCCCTCCCACTCTGTCTAAAAATACATGGGAAAATATCCTCAGGTGAGGATTTAAAAAAAAAAAATCATGTTGTTCTATCTATCCCCATTTTGATGAATCAGTACTTTCAAATCAGAACCTCTCAGAAACACATCTGTAGTTGAACCCCCTGAGTTACCACTCACTGCAGTAAGCGAGAATATGCCAAACCGTGGGGTTTCTCAACAAGAGGGACTTCAAAGGAGTCCATTATAGGATTTGGATTTTTTGGGTGATATGTAGGAGGGTTCAAAGAAGCAGGGCTTCAAACTACACCGGATGCTGTCTGAAAGCAGAGGTAATTCTATAATAGGTATTTCAACGAATCTGATCAACAAGGAGGGCGACTAGTATGAGATCAAACTGTAAAGAAGTAGCAGGCATTCATTTTGCCCAAGAGAGGAGGTGTTCGGTACTTTTTGGATGGCACAGTGACCTTGTTTTTGTCTGTGGTTAGCTATAATTTTGCAATGGTCTTGTTCTGTTGCATTTTATCATGGCCCCAGAGTAATCTTGACTGAGGCTGGTATTCTGTGAGTTTAGATGTAATGGACTGTCATGACCCAGCAGTGAGTGCCAGGCTGCCTTCTGAATGTCAAGGGCAGTTTGCTTTTCTTTTTAAGTATCTACCCTCTGTTCTCTCTAGCACAACTGTAGTAGCCACTGCATTTTGCTGGCACATTTCCAAGTGTTTATTACAAAATATTTTAAATGTACAAAAAAAGTAAAGATAATAATATAATAATCATCATGTATCCATCGAACAACTTAAGAAATAAAAGATCATATATAAAAGTATTTGAGCCTGGCCAGTGTGGCTCAGTGGATTGAGCATTGTCCCATGGACTGAGAGGCCCAGATTCGATTCTCAGTCAGGACACATGCCAGGTTGGGGGCTCCATCCCCAGTAGGGGGTGTGCAGAAGGCAGCTGATAGATGTTTGTCTCTCAGATGGATGTTTCTATCTCTCTCTCTAAAAAAATCAATAAAAAACATATTTAAAAAATAATAAAAGTATTTGAGTATTTCTCTCAAATCCTAATTCCCCCTGCAAGGAAACTGTTATCTTGAATTTGATGTTTAACATTCTCAAGTACCAATGTATTTTCATTTCCTTTTTAAAAATATACATATGATATTTTACAGTTTCCTTTTGTTCCAAGATTTATATAAAAATCTAACATTAATACACACTGTGATCATTTTTTAATTCTGAGGTTGCTTTAAAGCATCAAACTATATGAGGAATCATGAGACACCCTATACGTCACCCAAGGTCACAGGACATAATATTATATAAGTGTTGTTAAACATTATAAGTGGATTTTATTCACCACATCAAGTACATGTGGTTTTCAAATGACCTATAGTGACTTTGATTGAAGGGGCAATTTGTTGGTTTTACTTAGCAAAACCCTGGGCGGATTATTCTTCCCTCTCCGGGCTCTGCTAAACATTTTCGACACTAAAGGAGCTGCATCAGTTGGAAACTCACATTTTCATTTCAGACCATGTTAATCTCATGAAGCCAAGATGTGGCACCTACTTGAAAACAGCACTGAAGAAAGCAACATTGTCAAAACAAGTGGCTTGGTATATCCAGAGATAAACCTGTTGAATAGACTACAAGACGTTCATGACCTTTTACTTCACCTTTATATATAATATAAGCATTAATTAAACCACCCATGCCTGCCTCCTTGTAGGCGAACATTTTCTCTCTGACAGGAAATGTCAACTGAGGGAATGTGTGGCACTTTGGACCTGCCATTAAAAACACACTTTCGCCCAGAGAAAAGCTGACGCATCCTGGCAGATGGGCAGGCAGAGAGAAGACCCCGCAACACTTCCCATGTTTTATTGCCCTTGCTGTCTGAGACTATGGTGATGGGGCTGACTCTCTTTTGCTTTACTTTAGGCTTCCAGAGACGCTATCTTATAACTGTATTGCATCTTGCATCTTTTTTCACTGGGTGTTCCTTGGTACATTTCAAATAAAAGCAGAACATCGCCGTGGTCTTCTGTGGTCTTTACATGACAGGAACTAAATGTCAGATGTCCTGGTCCGTTTGGGCTTCTTTGATAGAAATACCATGAACTGGGTGGCTGAATAAACACACATTCATTTCTCACACGTTGGGAGGCTGGGAATTCCAAGGTCATGATATTGGCAGATTGAGTGTCCAGTGACAGCCTGCTCCCTAGTTGACAAATGTCATCTTTACACTGGAAGAAGGGATGAATTAATTAGCTCTTTGGGATCTTTTATATAAGGTTCTAATCTCATTCATGGTCTAACCACTGGGATTTCCACGTGCGCATTATGGGTGGGGGAACACAGACATTTGTACCATTTAGTTCAATGAAAGTCCAGAATGTTTGACATGCTATGTACACTAAGGCGCAGCTAAAGTTCATGGGGATGGCTGGAGGGATTGATGGAACAAACATCCCGGGATAAGGGAAGTGTTAGGAAAGCGGATTCCTAGAAGTCTTTATCATTTCCTACTGACATTTATCTTCTCCTTGCAGGGGAACACTTAAGGGTCTGTCCTCAAGAATACACATGCTGCACCACAGAAATGGAAGACAAGTTAAGCCAGCAGAGCAAACTGGAGTTTGAAAACCTCGTGGAAGAGACGAGTCATTTTGTGCGCACCACGTTCGTGTCCAGGCACAAGAAATTCGACGGTAGGAGAAACAGTTTCCGCTGCACGCTGTTCTGGGGTGCTTTTTTGAGACCCTTGGTCTTATGTGGAAAACATTTGTGTTTTTAAGCAGGAACTTTTCTTTTGCTCTTAGACTTATAACTTTTTTTTTTTTTTTTTTTAAGCATGAGGTTTCTTGACCATTTTGGTAGTCACATCTAGGAAAAACCCGAGTTATAGAGCTGTTTTGCATCTGCAGTTTGCCTGTGAGACTCACTCGGAAATATTTAAGCTCCGTTTTTCATTATAGTGTTTCTGGTTCAGGTTTTGTCATACCGTAGCTTGTCTTCAGTTTTCACCCTGGGGGTTTTTCTTTAAAATGATTAAATGCCATATGAAAGTATTTGAAATGTAACCGCCCTTTGAAGAAGACAGGCATGTGTTAAGTGCCAGTGACCTGGTCTCCTTTATTTTGGAGTCCGCCCTCCCGATAACCTGTAATGTAGCCACGTCACAGTGGCAGTGCTTTTTGCATGAGGTTTGAACCCTCTAATGCTTTCCTGATCATATGCCACCGACTTCTAAATTCTATTTGTAAAATAAACCTTTTGGAGTAGAGAGTGCAAAGTGTGAAAGTAATTATTACTAGGATTTCAGCATTGACTTTTCTCATCAGAGCCTCAGAAAAAACTTTTCAAAGCAATCTGATTTTTCTAAACTGAATTGATAAGGATCAAGTTCATATTCTTAAGTGGTGTGCAGGCTTTAGTGCTCTAAGAAATGAATGGAACTGACTCATTGTACACCAGACTGCACGCATGGCGCGCCTTCCTTGTGCCTCCGTCACGTTAGGTTGCCTGAGGCAACAGAACTGCCACTCATTCTCTTCATGCTCTCCAGTGATCTCACAACAGCCAGTGTAGAAAAGGCTCCAAAGTTTGTCTTTCTCTTTTTTGCTTTCCTCTGTAAGTGTAAAATGTTCTGCTTCATTGCTGCTTTAAATGAGTATAACAACACCGATTTCTTTCAAATCAGTCCTCCATGTTTTAAAAGGCAGGTCTACCCAGTGGTGTTTTCAGTACTCAAGACCATGCGAAGTTTTCCATGTAACCGAATGGGACTTCTATTTCCTGCAAGTATTTTTCAACATCTTCACATTCTTCCTCTGCCTCTCCTTCTGTGTTCAACTTTATTATTTGGATGTCTATGAAAATAATTTCGTGTTTTGAAGTGATGTTGTGAATGTTGTTCCTTTGAATGCAGCTAGGGAGTATTTGAGAGTTACCCGTGATTGACAGACCACCAATCCAGGGACATTCATTCAGGAGCCCCTGCAGCGGCTCTGTGTTTGGGGAACTATAATGCATCACTTCACAGTGAGGGGAATGGAGACACTGTCTCTTTTGTTACCGAAAGCAGGTGAGAGGGATCTGCAGCTGCGGACTTCTACCTGTATCTTTGGAAAACAACTCAAGTGCTTTTATAAAATGGTACTCTAAAATTAGGTTTAACTAGTTCTAGGGCAGTATTCACAGTACATAATATATATTCCTTTTAATAAAAATATTATGTATAAGGCAGCTTTATGGAAAGTTGATTTTTTTTTAATGAGTAACGGTATTTAACAAGACTGAGCCAGATACTTGTATTCTCATATCAATGACTATTAATATATTGGAATTTACTATTCTAAATCCCGCATCTCTTTATCTTATGAAGGAAATCTCCCTCCTTCCCTCCCTCCTCACTTCCTCTTTCCTCCCTTCTTGCTTCCCTCCCTCCCTCACTCCCTCCCCCCCTCTCTCTCCCTCTCTTTTTACAGGTGTGTTTAAATTATGCTAATGTACTTGGGGGTATTATGTCAATCTGTTTGACAGGACATTGACTTTTGCTAAGATTAGATCTGACATAGAGGGTGATGAATTCTTTATAACAGTGCATTTCATTGCAACTGCATTAGCCTGGACTGGGAGAGAAATTAAGATTTTTTTCAAGGAAGCTCTCAGCCAGACTTTAAAAAATTTTTGTATTAAATCTAAATGTGATTCTGGTAAACTAAGCTTCTGAAGAGCTCAGTAAAAAAAAAATAATAATAATTATAAAAACATTTAAATTTAAAAGTCACCATTATAATTTCTGCCCTTCCGTTTGCCAATTTCATGAAGGTCAGTGTGCAATTGTAGGACTTATCTTCTTATGCCTGGAAAGTGATGTAGCGAAGTCACCTTTCAGGAACAGTGGTACATTCGCATGGGTAGCTTTCCATTTTGCCCCTTGGCCCTTTTTTTTAAAAAACATTCCCCATGGCATGTATTGATGAGTATCAGTTGGTATAAGCACAGAACTAGGTAGGGTCAGTTATGGTCTTATTTTCCCAGATAAAACCAATGGTCTCTAAATCGGTGTGCATTTTATTTTCCCGAAAGGTAACTTTGCAGGATTACCCTCTAGGGCTAAGAGGATAGTCATATGTCATTTCTATTCTGTGAGTCATTTTGCATTATTGCTGGGGTCTCTTGATCCAAAGTGTCCCTTTTGCATTTCTGCCTCAGGTCCCATTTTTCTAGGGATCTTGATTGTCATCTGGATTTTGCATGTCTTTATTAACTATATGGTTGTTTGTTTGTTTTTTTAAATGATATGAATGACAACTATATTATATAAAGAGGTGACTGCTTTTCTTCATATTTTCATTAAGTACAACATTTTAAATTATATCTGATGTATGTGATTCAGTCCAAATTATAATGAGAGGCCAGATTCTATGTCTGTTAATAATTAGTCTACAGTTGTTGCTTTCTTCATTAGTGTGGGAATGTTTTGATTCTATTACCTTTTCATTTTATGATAGAGGTGACTTTTAAAATTTGAAATTCCAAAACATTTAACATAACAGCATTTTATTTGTTGTCATATTCTTTCCCAGTTTCTATTAATATCTCTGGTCATATTTAGAAGATAACACTGTATAAAATATAAATATTTATTGGGTGTTTGGAACCTAAACCTGAATTAATAGGAACTATTTTCTACTTTCCTAAATGGCCGAGCTTTGCTCCATACACCCATTAGGCTAAATTATGCAGCTGAGCAGAAATAAATTGAAAAAAAAAAAAATTGTATCTGAAGACAGTGAGTTGAAAAAGTATATAATATCAATTGCAGAAATTTTCATTCTTTGGCAGAGAATTTGCTTATTACGCAGTAGCTTTTTTTTCTTTTTGATGGAGAATTGAAATGTTATGATGCATATAGATAAAATAAAGGTTTATATTTTTGACACTGGTTATTTTCCCTGTGTCCCACAAGGTTTTTTTTTTTTTTCCCCCTTCTCCTTTCTCTGGCCAAATCTGCACCTCTAGGTTTGCACTATACATTCCTGCAGGTGCCTCGCCTTGTTGGCCAGGGTCTGACTGCTGCAAAGGTCCCCTCGGAATTATACAGAGATGCTTTCAATTTGCTTGCTTTTCTGTCACACCCAGTATGGATGAACACCCAGCCCGGTTCATAACATCACTCCCATACTTACCTTTCTCACCTCTGCCCAATGCCCAGGCAGCCAGAAGCACATGAAACAAATAAGCAAATCATCTATAAGTACAGAAAAAGGAAGGGACGTCTTCATGCACTTCTTCACCTGCCTGGCATTTTTGCGTCTTGTGACTGTCTGACCTGTCAAATTGGCCTTTGTGCCTAAATCCCAACGGCGGTCCTACATTTCAGTGGCTGATTTGTTAGGAACCTAGGAAAACACAGAGTAATCAAACACTGATCGTAGTAATTGTAATAATAGACAACACCTGGCCCAGACCTTGCCCTTCACAGATGTTGCCTGTTTCCCAGGTGAGCAGCCCCGCAGAGGCGCCCACCGTCAGTGGCTGAGTCAGTCTCCCCTGCAGGCTGAGCTCCCGTGTCCTTGCTCTCAGACCCCGCTGCCAGCCAGCTTCTGAGTCCTTTCCAGGCCTGGAATGTGCTGAGATTTTGTAAGAAGCAGCCTCTGCTCCTCTATTTCTTATTATTGTAGGGAGGAGGTGGAAATGTCTTTCAGAAAAAGTGGGAGTTTATTTTTTGTTTTTTAATCCTTAAAAAAGATACCCACCCACCTAAATAGAGCCCAGGCTCCAAGGGACTGGAGTTTAGAGAGGGTCAGTGACTTGCCAAGTTTCCACCAAATTGATGAAACCAAGACTGTAACCTAATACTCTGGATTACATCAGATTTATAAGTAGTAACGTAATAGGAAGTCAATATTTGGTCAAAATTCTAACTAAGCTTTTATTTGGTTTGAGTGGACACTGGCTAAAAAATTACTGCTATTTCTTTAACACGGCAATAGTGAAGTTGGTGGGTGAAGAGTCTAACCACATTTTTGGTAAAAGTAGAACGGTATTCAGTTGGAAGTTGTCCTAAATTAAAAAGGAAATGAATGTTTTGTGAAAAAGAACATGTTATTGAGCCAATAAAGGCATATTGTTTATTCTCCATATTTCCCAAAGCCTGGTAGCCTCTACCTTGGTGTAGGCATCTACGTCCTATTCTTTAGGGATGTGTATGGGATATGAATTATTCAGGGACAGCAAAAGTTAGTTGATGGGATATTTTGTTTTCTGTTTTCTTCTTCAGATTTATTTGAGCTGAAATTTATTCACATTTGAAACTCAATATGAAAGGTTTTTTTTGTTTAGTGTGTTCTTGTTCTTATTATTTTTCTCTCCTTCTTGGATTTTATTTATGTATTTTAATGATATACATTCATCTGGAGACTTTGGCAGCAAGTACATTTTTAAAAGCAAAATAAAATTTAAAAAAGTTTAGCAGTAATTTCCATCTTTCTGAAGAACTTATTCTACAGTAACACCCTCAGAATTCTTATTCTACTGAATGCAGAAATCAGTTATACACAACACCATAATATTTTTACATAGCATATCTGCTGTGTTTTCTTTTACAATATCATTTTTCATCTATATACAACAGAGACAACAATAATAGAATGATATCTTTAAAATATGGTCTAATTTTCTCAGAGACTACACTTATTTG